TTCTGGGCAGAACCCTTTGAAAAGGTTCTGCCAGGAAAAAGGGTTCTACTATGGGAAGAACCCGGTATGGCTGTAGTTAGCACCTTGACTTCTCAGAGAGAAGTAACGCCCTGGAAGCGGACCAGTACAACCCAGTCTGACCTGCTGGCCACTGAGCAGCTCCAGTGGAGACGTTGGGGTTAAGAGGCCCTGATGAGGGAGGGGAAGATCTATCCTGCTGGTCCGGGGATTGAGCCTACGACCTTCCGGTCACAAGCTCACTTGTTTCTGAGCTTCTCAGCTTTCTACGCTAACGGTTTTGAGAGTCCAACTGAACTGAGCAACGTCTACAGAATAAGCCACGAGTGGAAAACAAGCTGAAGTCTGTAGATCTTCATCAGTTAAATCCACTTAAACTGGTATTTTAGTGTTTTTTTAGGAAAAGCAGCTACTTACTGTGTTGTAGACTGAATATGCAGAGAGAACATGGAAGAGAGACTGCTGCCTGTAGAGAGGAAGACACACGAAGAAAGAGTCACGTGACTTATTCATGATGTGAAGGGTGTCTGCATGTTGTGGTGTTGTCCATACGTCTGGAGTGAATCATTAAATATATAAAGTGGACTTTATAGAAGAATATTATCCCACAATGCAACGTAAAAAGAGAAGTGCACAATAGTCGCTATGAGCTGAGAAAACAATCTGCAAAACTATTAAATCTGAATAGTTTCAGACACGATCAGAGACAGGAGGTCTCACTCTGCTCTGTTTAAACTGGACTGTGTTTCAAACAAAGGAGACGAGAAAAACAGAGAGAAGACAAAACAAAGAAAGAGAACATAGAAAACAGAAAACAAAGACCAGAGAAAATAAAACACAGAACACATAAATCCAAGAACACAAAAACCCTCAGAACACAGAACCGGAGAGGAACAGCTCTGCGTCACTATAAAAAGAACTCTTCTTTAAATATTGAAACATTTTGCTGCCCCAGACTTTCCAGTGCTGCTCCTCAAACAGGCCTGCGGTCCATTAAACCATCAGTGACATCACTCTGTGACGGGATCGGGTTCCACACACAGAACCCAACGCCGTCCAGAACACAGCGGGTCCACCTCTCTCACACTCAGCCTCAGGTTCACACCGAGGACGCAGAACGTCGACTAACAGTATTTAAAACACCTGACCGTGTCTGTTGAACTTGAACCTCACTGTTGACAAAGCAGTTCAGGATGAAATAAGAAAATGTTTTTCAGTCACGCGAGTGAGAACTCGATGAATCGCACCACGAGACTCACTTGACTCCGAAGCGATCCATGAACATGATGTGGTTTCGAAAGGTTCTGTTGATGTCCAGGTCGATCTGTTTGATCTCAGACGAGTACAGTCGGGCCTGCTCCTTCATTCTCTGAGCGGGAACAAACACAGAGCTGGGTCAACGGGGCCGGGTCACTCGGACACAGAAAGGTTCTTGTGACTGAGCGAAGAGGATCTGAGCATGAGACACTGTGAGATGGCAATGATTGTTCCAGGTGTTAGCGAACCCCCAGGGTCAGATTAACGCTCTTAATTCCTTTCTTTGGCAAGTGACCATGGTATAGTCACGATCATGCCCTTCGAGGTGTTCATTATCAGGAATTATTGACGCCGACGCCAGAAGCGTCCCACGCACACCGTCTAGTTACTAGTCACATCTCCTCCAATGGTTTTTATGCATGTAGAACATTCTCTGTATTTGTGACTTTCTTCAGGCTGGATGAATTGGCGTTAAGAGAACACACACACACACACACACCTCATATTTGCCCTCGTTCTCCTTCTTCGCCCTCTCCACGTGCAGCATCAGAGCCCAGGCCCGGCCTCGGAGCTGCAGGGGGATGCCCTTGTACACCCGCTTCACCATCTGACAGCAGAGAGCAGGAGGGATAACACAAACACTGGATGAATAAAACAAAAACAAGCCAGAAGGTTCAGAGAGGTGACGGTGCGGAGTGTGAGTCACGGGGAAGTTTTACCGCCTACGACCATATTCACAGCAGGCAACTCTTTTCAGCAGGTTTGTGTGTGTTAGAAGTCACTGCTCAGGTTAATAACAGTGTTTTGGGTTTTAAACTTCCCAACGTAATAAATATTTTTAACTTAAAAGCACGGAACATACCCAAATTTGAACGTCACGTTTTTCTGAGTGCTGTTACTCTGAGGACGGAGCTCCATGAGATCACTTTGAAAATGGTCAAAAGAAAAATATTTAGCGAATAGCGTTTCTATGTGTGTCTTTCTTTGAGCCAATAAGTGCAGAATGTTTATTAGGTAAACCCCAGGCCAGTGAATCCAAAGCTTCATGTGTTAAAGCTGCATTCTCTCTAGTGTCCAGCAGGGGGCGACTCCTCTGGTTGTATAGAAGTCTATGAGAAAATGACTCTACTTCTCTCTTGATTTATTACCTCAGTAAACATTGTAAACATGAGTTTATGGTCTCAATCTCTAGTTTCAAGTCCTCTTCAATCGTGGCGTCACCCATTGGTTTGTGGACTGACGTCTTGAAGCCTCGAGTTTGACGACTTCGCCGTCGCCATCTTGGATCACGGCTGTCGCAATGTTGTTGTTTTTGCAACCAGTGAACAGGAAGTGACCATATTTGGAGTGAGGAGGAGTGACAGAGGAGCCGGAGGTTGCAGCCTTCAGACTCGCATGGAAACCAGCACCCACTTCACATACATGTCAACAATTGTGTGAAGTTAAAATGTTGTTGGTATGTTTGGTCTGTTACTCACCCGGTCACTGTTCTTGTATTTGTCCCACTTCTTGGCCATTTTCAGCCACTTCTCGGCCCTCTCCACCTCCAGCTGCTTCCTCTGTGAGGGACACAGCAGCAGGTGGACATTGGTTGGCCCTTTGTTACTACTTTAGGTGACAGCATTTTTCATGACTTCCTACTTTACCTTTTCCTCATGTGCAGTCGGGGCTGGCAGCTTGTCCTCGCTGATACAAAAATAAAAGACACAAAATGATCAGTGATCAACCGCACGGCTCCACCAGCCAGAAGCAAACAGTCTCCAGTGTGAAGAGAAATGAAGTTATGACTTACTGCATGAAGCCGAAGCGGTCGATGACTTTGTAGATGCTGTAGTTGGCATCTTCCCACGGGTCGATCTCCACCCCGCCCTGCCTCCCCTGCAGACACATACTTGTATAGTAATCATGAATAAAATATATTGTATTCAAATGAACTTTCCACTGAAAGTAACACCAACAAGAATCAGCGCCTCGTGGTGGTTTGCCTCCGCCAACCAGTCAAGCTCACATTCATGCCTGTCAAAATGTCATCACTTCAGCATTTTATTCTGTTAGACATTTGTGTGGAATTGTCATAATTAGCATATTCATTCTAATTATTGTTATGGCCAAAACAACGTGTTTTGTGAGGTCACAGCGACCTTTGACGAAACAAAATCGAACTAGTTCATAAAGAGTTTGTGCCAAATTTGAAGAAATTCCCTCAAGGTGTTCTTGAGATGTCGCTCACATAACAATGACATGAGATCACAGTCACCTATAACCACCAAAATCAAATCAATTCATCTTTGAGTCCAGGTGGACGTTTGTGCTAAATTTGAAGAAATTCCCTCCAGGTGTTCCTGAGATATCATGTTCACGAGAATGGGATGGACGTACCGACAAGCTGAAAACATGATGCTGAAAATATATTTAAACGAATGACATCCGCCTTGAAAACTATATATTTGTGTTATTCTCGTCACCTCGGGGTAGTTTACCTGATAACATGCAGTTGAGGCTGAAGTGCCTCGTTTATGGGAACGTCTAACACGACAAAGTCTAGATCAATGACCAGAAAACATTGGTCGATGGGTAACAAATGAACAACTTTGTTGTTTGTATAACTAAAATGTAAAGGGCTTCTTGATGGTGGTGCCAGAGAAAAGGAAATATCATTCATCAAAAGGTTTTATCCCAAACACAGAGGAAGAGCAACGCCGAACACAGCTTCCAGGTCCAGTTAAATCAGGTAAATCAACACTTGAATAGCTCTTATTTAAATCATTGGGTTCTAAAAGTTGCAGCTTCAGACCAGCAGGGGGCAACTCCTTCAGGTGCAGAAAAATGACTCTACTTCACACTTGATTTATTACCTCAGCAATCATTGTAAACATGAGTTCATTGTCAAAATAGTCAGATATAGTCACAGAAGTGACCATATCTGGACTGAGGAGGAGTGACATAGAGACGCCGTATACGGCTCTGGTAGAGACCTGTCAATCACCGTGTAGCCCCGCCCTAAAGCATCCCCTGCTTTATGGTCTGTGTGACTCTAAATGGACCATAATGTACTAAATGAACATCATGCTGTATTGAAGAAGACTTGAAACTAGAGATTGAGACCATAAACTCATGTTTACAATGTTTACTGAGGTAATAAATCAAGAGAGAAGTAGAGTCATTTTCTCATAGACTTCTATACAACCAGAGGAGTCGCCCCCTGGTGGACACTGGAGAGAATGCATCTTTAAGGCACTTGTTGCTGCCTGGGTGCATTTTCTGCGTTAGTGGGTCAATCGCACATAATATGTAAAATTTGTCTGCATTATTTCAGGAGCTGCTCTACTCATGACACAAATGCATTTGCATGCACATAAACTTTGATTGCATTCACACATATTCACACAGTCTGACACTGGTTAGAGTGCGCATGCACACACCAACTCAAACATGTGAAAGTGTTCTTAAAGCAGTGACAGACTGCACTAAAAGGTTCAAACACAAACATCTGTAATCAGTCAACCTGTAGCAGCGAGCAGCACTCTGCAGGAAAACCGTGCAACCCGAACACGTCCGCTCAGGATCTGCATTAAGCAGCACGACGTCTAAGAGTGATGATGTTTGTATCATGGAAAATCCATTTCGGCTACAATCTGGTCCCCGTGTTGACACAACAGAGAGGGGAGCTAATCCTCCGACAGCCGACCGGAGAGGCTCCTCTCGCTGCTCTGCTGCATGTCTGGAAGGCAGCCAATCAGTGAGGGGGGGGGGTCAGAGCATGCACACAGACAGAAACAAGGCTCGGCTTCTTCGTGGTCGAGTCGGAGCTCTGAGCCCTGGGAGTGATGCCATGAAAGTGAGAGGGCTAAAAATACTTCCTCACTGACGCCGTCTGAGTGGAGAGACTCAGAGAGAGTTTGTAAAACAGACGTATTAGGAGCTGTGAAGTCCTGCAGGTCACAGGGAGCAGGATTCTCTATGTAAACCTGCAGCATCTGATGATCTGATCAACACATCCCAGCTGCACCTATTCTGTCTGTATGACACATCATTTTTGTTTATTACAATCATGGTACACACACAAGTAAATGCACATAACTAACCCATCAAGTAAACGTTGACATGTGGACGGAAGGAACTGGGATCGAACCCCTACCCTTCTGGTTAAAGAAGAACCACCGTATAGAAGACCTGAACCTGAACGCATCTGTTCTCCTGTGATAAACAGTGTTGATCGCTCTCGCTGTGCTGTAAACCAGACACCAGGAACCAGACACAGAAATCAGGATGACCGGGACTCCAGCCGGTCCCCGGAGGTCGCTGTCAAGTCAAATCGCTGCACAGGGTGTCACCACTGTTGCTATGGACAGACAGAGAACCCCCCCAACACACACACCAATAACCACAGCTAAATTTAAGCTCTAGTTGCCAACGTCTCCATTCCCCACCACGTTAACCTCCCTGCAGAGCTCATCCAGGCTTTTATTTTGAAATCTGATAACGTTTGTTTCCACAATAACCTGAACACAAATGATGAACGTCATCACCGCATATCGTCGTCACCTTCACACAAGCAGGTTTTTAGGTTGGATGGTTTTTTAAATAGAGACTTCTCTTCTCAACATTACCAACCAGCTCTAACGCTGATCTCCTGATCGCAGACTTTTACTGAATATCATCCGATAACGATCAGCAGTAGAACGTCAGTTCACACTGCGATGGTTAAACCGTGTAATCAACCGAACCTTAAGGTCCGTTACGACACAAAACAGCCAAGAGGTGGAGCGTGTCTCCAGATCATAATATAGCATCTCAGCTAGAGTTTGAGTCTTTGGGTCTTCATCAGGATTTGGAGAAAAAGATCCACAAGAACATTGGAGCAGTTTGTGGCTGAAATCTAGAAACAGCTGATGTTTCAATAACCAAAACTCACTACTTGAGTTTTGGTTATTGTCAAATTTTAGTTTTGTTAGTTCCAGTTTCAGTCAGATTTATTTATCATCATTCTCCGATCACATCAAACCACAAACCTATAATTACATAACGTGTTATTAATGCACTTCAGCAGCATATTCCTCACATCCACCCACGTGTGCAACACACACACACACACACACACACACACAGTGTGTTGTCCTCATGCACACAAACCACACTACACACATCTGAATCTACGCTCTGGTCCGTCTCAGAGTGAGAACTCTTCCTCCTACAGAACAACAACACACATCACAGGAGAACATGTAGAAACATGGATCACTTTTCATAAATCATCCTGTTAAACACTGATGACCGAGAAAATACGATCAACAATGTCTGCTGACTGGAGCTGGGATCAGCAGACATGTTTACAGATCAATACTTCAGGATATAATGAAAGATAAATATCACTATTGATACGTTTAACATAGTCCATCCCGACCAGATAAAAGACAGAAACTCACCGTAGCATATTTCAAGATGATATCAGCACGTTCCTCTGCTATTAGAGTCTCAACGTCTTTCTTCATGTCAATATCTGCAGAGAGAGGAAGAACTACATGAGCTGGAGACAAACAACAACAACAACAACAACAACTGAAGATGACTCGGAGAAATAGAAGAACAGCTGATAGACGTGGGCGACTGTTGGCCTCCAAACCAGCAGGACGAGCAGCGCTGCGAAGCTTGTAATGACGTCATCACATAGAGAAAAACACTAGAGCTGCTTGTGTGATGCATTTCTATTATTTTCATTAAAACACACTTAAAGGAGCAGTGCGTATGATTTAGTGGCATCTAGAGGTGAAGACACAGATCACAACAAACTGAACGTCCTTCAGCTCAATCCTCCTTTTCCAAGCGAGTCGAGTTCCACGTGAAAGACTCTCCAGAGCCACTGTTTGGTTTGTGCCTTCTGGGCTACCGTAGAAACATGGCGGTGCAGCATGGCGGACTTTTCCTCCCGCTCCCCAGCATGAGCCCTTCATATCTACATATGAAGGGCTCATGCTAAGCTAACGATGAGCACAACGATTCTCAGTTTCAGATGATTAGACACAAATGAAAACATAGTTGTTGATATTATATTAAGGGTTAGGGGCCAACATGCCACAAACTGTCCCTTTAAGAGATCTTAGTATAAAACACAGTTGCAGAAAAGACAAAAATGGAAATTTTGCCTTTTTTACAGCTGAAAGCTTAAAAAAAATAAATAAAAAATCATCTTTTATTCAACAGCAGCATGTCAACAGTGTTTGTCAGGTTTTAAATCTACAGAACAGATTTCATTGGAAACTTTCTCCAGTAGTTTAATGAACAGCGAGCTTTTTTTCAACCCTTCCAGAATTTCTCAAAAGACACAAATCATTTAGCTCGAGATAGCGATCGAAGGAACAACGGTGAGTAGCTAGCTGACGTACCCGAACCACAGAAACGTCAGCGAGTGACTCTGTAGAGCCTGTGACCCCTAATGCCTCGTGAAACACCACAGATATAAACGATGTGCTCATAGTCAGTCTGAATGGTCTTAAATGAAGCTTTTATATGATCAGCTCAGGCTGCTGTTGGGTTGTGAAACATGGCTGAATATCGCAGGTACCAGCATTTAATGCCAGAACTAACTGATTGACTATAACTAATATGTTAAAATTGTCCCAAACTTGGAGTTGTTGTTAAAGTCAAAACCTTAGTTCCGCCAACAAAAGCTCTTCAACCAGGACTACAACCAGACATGTGGTCCTGGATTCAGAGGTCTGGCAGCAGGTTATGAGTTATGAGTGGGCGGCGTTCTGCAGGTTTGTCCATTAGACGACCGGTGATGGGTAATATGAGAGGGCTGTACTGCAGAAGTAATATAATATAAGACCCCTAACACCAAGACTACACCCCCACCTGTGACAGGAAACCAGATCGGTGTCGTCAGAGACCTCTAAAGACTCGCCTGTGCTTCAGTTAGTGATTCCCAAACACACATCACCAGTCGTACAATGCAGCAGAATTAACGGCGGTTTATGATATAACAATAATCTGCACTGTTGTGTCTTTTAAAACATTGCACTCAATCCCAGCCGGAGCCGGAGGGTTTCTGCTAAATCATCTCCAAACAAAGCGGCGAGGGTTCTAATCCTGCTTCATCTACATCCTCCGTACGGATCAGCACCCGGGACGGGACCCCGGGTGCTGATCTGGACACGCAAACCATCGGGATTAGGAATATCTCCAAAACGGGGATTATGCACCGGACGTCTGTTGTTCCCAAAGCAGCAACAAAGAGGAACAAAGAGCTGCGAGGTTCCTTTCTGATCTGGATGGTCTGTTTTCCAAAAGCCCGGCAGCTTTGTGCAGCAGTGTGGTCTCATAAAGACGGTGATGTTCCTTTGCTGGTTCAACTCTGCCTATGATTGGCATCTAATGGACTTGTATCTACCAACGCTAAGATTCTTCTCATCAGACACAACAAACCTTCACACAGTGATCGTCAACGACAGACGATCTGATGCAGGACGTTTGTCCCAGTCCTGTGTGTGAATGTGTGAGAGTGTGAATGTGTGAGAGTGAGAATGTGTGAGAGTGTGAGTGTGAATGTGTGAGAGTGTGAGAGTGTGAATGTGTGAGAGTGTGAGAGTGTGAATGTGTGAGAGTGTGAATGTGTGAGAGTGTGAATGTGTGAGAGTG